TGACATCACCCACACCCAACATGGCATTGTGATCCACGTGGTGTCGTGATCTACGTGGCATGCTGATCCACATAGCTTCGGGTGGCCTCGGGCACTCGGATACACAGCTCTGGCAATGAATCACACGAAAAACAGCAGAAAACACAGCAGAGGGAGTGGGGCAGTGGTGAGTGTATGGTAGACGGGTGAGCGTGAGTAGGGCGAGCATGGGCAAGGTGAGGAACGGCCACTTCCTCCCTTCTCTCCCACCACAAACACAGGGAAACACACTGGACGCAGAAATCACCACAAAGCTCACCTCTGGCCTGCTGAAACAGCTGTGCTGAGCTGAACAACGACAGCAACATACAAGTGATGCTGAACGCGTGACTTGAGAAACAGTGTGGGACGCTGTAGCGTGGGGTCACTTACAATTCTCAGAGAATTTCGGCAAATTTCGGCTGGATCCTGCTTGTACCTGCGTCTGGATGCTCAAACGTGCAGACACGACATCAGGATAACTTGTTGAGAGACGGATGCTTGTTGTATGGGATGATGAAGTGAAGATGACTTCATACCTCTCCTTCCTCTCTCTGGGCAAACAACTGCTGCGACCACTGCTGCCACCATTTATAAAAAGGATTATTTGTTTGGTCTGGTAGCGGGGAGTAAATGATACGTCTTCGGAGGCTTCTTACTTTATTGTTAAGTAGTGTGTGGGTACACAGGCTTGTGTGTTATGCCCCTGGCCCGGGCAGGGCCATCCCATGGAGAGAGCTACTTTTTACAAATACAAGGACAAAATGTGAAGACTGTTTAAAAGAGATGGGGGTGATCAGTCCCTCAAATCAAAAAATCAAGTTTTTTTCCCCTATAAGGGTTACAATGTGGGGGTTTAGAGGTTTTGGGATATTGTGTGGTTTACATGTTTTAAAAATACAATACAAGGGGGCCACTAGGAACCTAGCATGGTAGGGTGAAGGCTTACTCAGCCCTTGTAACAACTTCAGAAAATATTATCAGGGGTCCTCCTCGGGAAAAATTTAATGAATAGAAAAAAAATAATTCACAAAGATAAACCATTTTTTAAAATAAAACATAAAACAACAAAACATAAAGGAATCCTTTTTGAAAGAAAAAAAAAAAATAAAATGAATAAAATAAATTTGAACCAACGCTAATTCTCAAGGTGCTGGTGTTGGTGACACTTTTGTTGAAACCGTAGCCTTTGCTGATGTAAGGGGGGGGGAGGTCGCAGAATTTGGGTGACCATCCACGGCATCTTCCAGAGAATCGCTGTGATTATTACCCCATGACAGGAAAGCAGCCCCTTTCCCCGCTGCAATGCTGTGAGTTACGTCCTGCACTTTCATACAGGGCACAGGTAGTTCAATACAAAAGGAGAATCCTGGCGTTATCCTTCTCCTGTTCTGCTCGTTATTGCGGTGACCCTTCGACCCCAAGAGTAGTTTTGGGACTGTGAGTCGAGTGATTTACTGTTTAAACCCAGAGCCCCACATTCCCCTTTCGGGGGGGAGGTGGAAGAGGGGGGGGGAAGGGTAGGGGAGCTTGACTGCCCCTACGTTAACAAGCACCCGGCAATAAACTACACTTTGGGGGGGGGAAGAAAGGCGGACGTGACTTACCCTACCTTAACTAGTAGCCATAATGAAACCTATCGTTACTAATTTTTCACTCCTATCATTGAACTTTTCCTCACCCCCCCCAACCCAAAGACTTTTTTCAAGGGTATAAGAAAATGGGGGAAAAAAAGTTCTAACGTGGAATCGCGTAAGGCAAAAAATCTTTCTTGACTGTAACGACTTAACCAGTCAGGAAAAAATTGGATAACCCCATTGATATACACAATATGGAATTTAAAAAGCTGGGTCCCAATGTCCACCTCAAGGGGCGATGTTGGTTCCCTTAAAAGTTTCTAGTTACAAATTTTTTGTGGTCCGTTTCTAAATTGAATTTTTTCCCAGCAAATAAAATTTAAGTTTGGAGATCCCCCACACAAGGGCTAAAATTCCTTTTCTATTGTGGGTATTTTGTTTCTGGGGGAAAGGGATTTTGGCTTGGGAAGCATACGGGGAAGGGGTACCATCAGGGTATTGTAGAACACCCCCTAAGCAGTTTGGAGGCATCAGTTCTCAAAAAAAAATGTTCTATTAATATCTGGAATTTAAGTATAGGGTCTTGAAAAGATATTTTTAACTCTTTAAAAACTTTTCCCGAGCAACTGGAATTTCAAGAGGTTCCTTTTCCAGATTTTTTAAGGAAGTCGATAAGATGCCTGAAAGATCAGAAGGGTTGGGGATAAACGTGCTAAAAATTTACAAAAACCAAGAAAGCTACCATGATTTCTTTTTTTTGGGGAAATTTAAATTCTAATAAAGCTTTGATCTTAGGGGGGAGAGGCTGCAAGAGTTATTAGAAAGTACAGTCCAAGTATCTAATCTTTTATACCCAAGGAACATTTTTTCGGCTTGGCAGTGACCCCATGTGAGCGAAACCTCGAAAAAAATGAGTTAGTTTGGATAGTTCGCCCCATGTAGATGTCATAACTAAAGTAATCAAAATAAACTAAACTTTTTGGGCCTATTCCCCAAAAACCTTTCTCATCAGTTCCTGGGTAGCACAGGCTTTTCAAACCAAAGGGGCATAGTTCATATTGATCACCCTTGGGTGTGTGGGGAAAAGCGGTGTACGCTTAGAAAAGGATCTAACATTACTTGATGATATGCCTGCGCATATCAACTCTGAAAAGAAGAAGAGTCATAAAATTTGGTAGATCGTATCATTAAGGGCATGGGCTCACATCCCCCCGATTATAGCATTAAGGCCTCTGAAGTCAATACAATTAAATGAATTATCCTCCTTTTTAAACCCATGAACGGGTGAAAAAATAGAAATATTAAAGGGTTAAAGATCTTTTTTTAACAATTTGTCTACCTCTGGGCAAATGCATCCCAAAGGTGAACTGGAAGGGGTATATTTCTTTTGATAGGATTGTCCGTCATAAGTCAATTTTAGGGCTACCGTGGAGGAACACCTGGAATATCAGTAAAGACGTCTGAAATTACCACCTTTGAAGTAGTTCATGTCTCTTATGGCCCCAAAGATTTTTTAATATTAATGTTGGGTTCCCCCCCGATGGTCAAAAGTCCCCAAGTCATGTAGTTCTTCATCATAGTCTAAAGTTAGGGGTGCAATTCCACACTTTACATTCTTCAGTTGTCTTTCAAGTTGGGGGGAAAAACAAAGTCAAAGTTATAAGGGTTAACCGAATTTTTTCGGAAAATTTCTTAAGGATGTTGATATGATAAAGTTAGGTTTCCCCTTGCTTCTATGAGGTATAAAATTTCCCACAAATTTTTAATACTTTTATATGGACCTTTCCCCATTTTTACTAAAAATTTTTATTTGATTATAGAAAAAAGTACAAGAATTTTTCTCACCTACTTTAAAAACTTTCCTCTACTTCGGAATCAAATAGGTTTTGTACTGGTCCATTGACAAGCTTAGGTTTTCGAAACTATGTCAGAGGTCCCTCAAGTTTGATTTTGGTCAAGGAAAAAGGGGGGGGGTAAGAAGACTGAACCCACATTTACCTCCTCATTATTTCATAAGTATGAAGGAGGGACATGGGCCTCTGGCCTGTCTACCATAGAGAAAGTTCAAAAGGTAAACCCAAAGAGTCATTTGGGAATTTCCCTCAGGGGCAAACAAAAGCCAGGGTAGGTACGAGCCACCCCTTTTGGTTTAAAGGAGAAAGTTTTCTAAAATGGACTTGAAAAATCGAAGCTGGCGCCTCCCCCATTACAGCTGGGATAAAAGGGTGTGGTGAAGAGAGGTTTTCACTCCAAAAGTTGGTATAGATTTGCTTAAGTCAGATGTGAATTTGGTCCCGGTCAGAAAAAAATTTCTCTGGGGTGCCCACTCGGGAGAAGAGGAAAAAAGGGGCTTCAGCCCCTTGAGTATTTTAGGTCTTTAAGGGAACGGCTTCAGGGAAACCGAAGCATAATCAACAAATTTTTAATATATTCTATTCCCCCAGATGAAAGTTGGAGATAAAGGACCAACGTTTTCAATACTACTCTTTCAAAGGGTCCGTAAAGATCATTTTGACCAAGTACTGCCGGTCCCCTCGGGAGAATACATTTGGAAAAATTTTACCACCAAAAATGGGGTATGAATCTGAGGACTTTTTTTGGCCAAAAATAGGTTTCCCTAATTTTTTTTAAAGGTTTTACGTGCGAAAAATGCCGGGCCCCTGGCCGGTCATGAGTTTTTTAAGAACAGCTCTCTGCATTGACGGGAACAACAAGATGATGTCATCCTCTGTTTTTTAATTTTGAATACTGACTTGTAAAAGATACCTTTTATATATAAAATTTTATATAAAATTTTTTTCCTTTGGGAAACTTGATTTTTTTTTAGCGGCATTAGGGCAATTCTGAGAAAAGGGGCAATTACGAGGGAAAATTGAAAAAGGATCCTTCTATATTAAAGGCTTAAAGTCAAAAAAATAAAAGGATGGACAGTAGAGAAACCGGGTTTTGGTCTGAGCCCTAGTCAAGACATTTTGGTTTTGGGGGTGATACTTCATTTTCTTTAAACAAGTGAACCGGTGATCCTACACCTTTTTTTGGAAGTAAATCATGGTTTTTAACCCCCACATAAAATCTCACGAGACATTGAATCTGAACTTTCGAGGGGCTTTTCTGACTCTACAGGAAGAGGATCGAAACACTTTTATCCATCTTGGTGATAAAAAGGTAAACCTCAGAAGGAAAATGGCCCCTTTTACATTACCATTAGTACGGGCAAGAAGTGATGGGGCTAGTACGGCTTCAACCACCTTAAACCTTTTGGGACCTAATGTACAACGGATGGTGGGAAAAGTGTCTGTAGGGCCCCAAGTAGTCTGAAAGTATAGAAAGGGGAATAATTTTTCTTTAAGGTTAGGGAAAGCTTATCAAAATGACTAAAAATGTGCACCCAGTGCCCCCGTAAAAATGGGGGTAATTAAGCCATTAACTGTTCCTGAAAAAAAGGGTGCTTGGTCATTACGTCTTTAAAAATCTTCCAATTTTTTGGACCTTCTTAAAAGGGGAAAATCTGGACGTTTAGCCCCTTTTAACACAACACAAATTACAAACGGGAATAAAAGAACCCTTTTACTTTCCACTAGGGCTTTGATTTCTTAAGGTCTGAAAAAACCTTGCCCTTAGGGTTCGATCCCTTTAGGTCTTTTAGGAAATTGTGAGCCTCAGCATACAGGTCCACCTCACAAACTTCCCCAGTTTAATCGGTTACGTTCTCTAATAAAAGTTCGACCGGGTGGGAAAAGGCTGTCAGGAACGGTCAGAAAACCATAAAGGGCCGAAGAGTTCATAACGGATAAATTTCCCTGAACTCCTACCAAAAGCGAACAACGAAAGATGTTCCCTGAAACTTTTTAAAAGTTCGGCCAGGCGTAAGGGGGATCCCTGAAATTTTTCCTGAAAGAATTAGGGGTTTTTTGATATGCTTTAAAGGATTGCCTTTTTAGTAGGTTAATTACATATGTACCTGGACAAAGTTGCATAAAATTTTCAAGGCTGTCCCAAAAAAATAACTTCCAACCGGGTAGCCCGGGTTTTTCGCAGGCCATTCCAGAGGGTAGGGGTTTTTTCAAACCTGATAATGTATGAAGTTATGTCTTCCCCCTCTAAGGGAGAAATTTTGGGGGTTGGAATATGTGCATGACTGCACGTTTGTTCATTACTCCTTCCTCTAATTTTTTTGTGAAAAAGTTAACTTTTTTTCCCAATTAAAGGGCGAGATTTTTGGGTTTTCGTGATCCTTTTCTCTCTCTTTTAACTCATCTCTCTAGCTTTTTCCCTCCGTTCTTAGCTTTTTCCTCAATTTCCTATCCTTTGCTTTTCCTCAAGTTTCTTAATTTAACCTGTTCTTCATGTACTCTAGCTCTTTCCTCACACAAGTTATCACACTTTTTTTGGTCTTCTCGCTCTCTTTCTAACTGTCTTTCTTGGATTTCTCTCTAAATTTCTCTCTCTCCCCTTTTTTTCTTTTCTTTTTCGTTTCCTCTCTCTCCTTTCTTCTTCTCTTTGATTCTCTCCTCTCCTTTTTTTTTCTCTTTCCTTTCTGTCTTTTTCTCTCTCAATTCTCCTCTTTAAATCTTTCCGGATTTTGCACTAATGAAAGATTCAAAATTTTTTCCCTGTATTCCTAACTTTTTCCAGCTTCTTCCAAAACTGGTTTTCACCCATCTTCAAGAAATTTTAAACATGGGGGAAAAATGAAACGGGTATTAAAGAAAACGGAGTTCAATTCCCTCCGCTAAAAACTGTAAATAACCAGGGGGCTCGATCCCCTTCAATTAAAAAAAATTTGTTTTAAATGAAAAGAAGGGTTTCTATGCCGGCCCCCCGGCAAACATAAGTAGAATGGGGTATTGACCATCCAACTTCTCCCCAAAACAAATCAAGAGTGTCCTAGACAGTTCCCTTGATAAATAAAGCCATGAAACAAGTCACGGGAAAATCTCGGCCCCAAAGAGTCTAATCCTCCAAAGTGTTTAAAGCCCCAAAAAGGGTGGCAGAATTAAATATTATATCCTGCCGACTTGATTTACAATAAAATTGAGCTAAACAATCCCAAATCTTTAAAACCCTTACTGTGCCCAACCAAGAGAAAAATTACTCATGGCTGGTGGAACCGTCGTGGTATGCGGCGTTGAAGTTCCAAGGTGATTCAGATGGAGTTGAATCTTGATTCGTAGAGTTACCCTGGAAAGGGTCGCCACTTGTGAAGGCTTCTCGGGCCCTGTAACAACTTCAGACTTTTACCAGGCGGCTCCTCCTCAAAAAATTTAAATGAATAGAAAAAGAAATAATAATTCACAAAGATTAAACACTATTTATTAAATAAAATAAAACAACAAAACAAAAAGGGTAATCCTATTTGAAAAAAATGAAAAAAAAATAAATAAAAAAAACTTTTGAACTCACGCTAAATCTAAAAGGTGCGGTGTTGGGGTGCACTGTTGTTGAAACCGTAGCCGTTGCTGTTTTAAAAGGGGTGGGGGGTCGAGATTGGTGACCACCACTGGCTATTCTTCACGGGAAAATCGCCGTGATTTTTATCCCGAGACGGAAAGCGATTCTTTACCGCTGAAATCTGGGAGTACGTCCTGCATTTTCATACGGTGCACGGGTATTCAATACAAAATGGAAAAGTCTCTGACTTTTAGCCCTTTCGTTTGCTCGTTGATTCCAGGGCCCCTTCTGACATCCAAGATAGTGTTGGGGCGTGAGTCGAGTGTTTTTTTTTACTGTTTCCAGAGCCCCACATCCCCTTTTGGGGGGGGGGGGAGGGGGAAGAGGGAGGGAAGGGATAGCGGGACTGGACGACCCTCGTTAACAAGCACGGCAATCAAACTATCACTTTAGGGGGGGAGGAAAAAGGGGGAAGTTGACTTACCCTACCTTAACTAGTACCGGTAAGAAATATCTTTTCTATATTTTATCCTATTATTAAACTTTTCCCTCACCTAGGCATTTGGGGCAACTTAATTAATTTTAAAATTTGGTTTAAAAGACACTAACAAACACTATAAATATTTATTAGAAAACGTTTCGGTCCGGGACCTTGATCACTTCTAACCTAAGGTCCCAGGACCAAAAACGTTTTCTAATAAATTTAAGTTTTTGCTTGGGTCTTTCAACCAAATTTTGTTTTTTTTTATTACCAAGGGTTATCCCAAATTTTAACATTAAATCCTTACAATTATGGTATTAAGGTAGGGGACTACATCATAATTTTTTGGGGGTTTACAATGTGAATGCTTTTTTTTAGCAAATACAAAGTGCTTATTGGAGTAATAGGGAAATTATGACAGTTTTGGATTCTTATTTTAAGATTAAAATTTTGTATTTTTGGGGTTTTATGTGGAGTGGTAGTGTAATTTGAACCACCAGGTGGTTATCATTTAGTTAGTTTTTGGGGTGTTCAGGGAGATAAGTTTTTTTCTAACTGTAGTTTTGAAAGTGGATGGGTCTGCTTTCTAAATTTTTTTGGCAGGGTGTTCCAGATTTTTGGTCCTTTTAAATACATTGAATCTTTTTTAAAAGGGTTTGTCGGACACGGGGGAAAGCATAGAGAGTTTTTGTATGGTGTTATGCCTTTGGGTCCTGTCAAACTACAAAAAAAGCGTTTTTTGGTAAGGTTAATTGGAATTTAAAGGGCCTGTAATATTAAATTGCATAGTAGTAAAGGTGGATTTCTGAAAGGGAGTAAATTAAGGTTTTTGAAAATTGGGGGGGGGGATTTTTCCAGGATGGGGTTTATGATTATTCTTTCTGGGCTTTTTTTGGGTTATTATTGGCTTTAGGGGTGTTGCTGCTTGAACCCCAAGCACAGATAGCATAGTAGGTATGGTATTAAGTGAGGGGATGTGTGAGAAGGGCAGTTTGCGGAGTATATCGTATCTTGGGAAGGATCCCACCTTTTTACTTTTTTTGTTATGTGTTGGATTGGGGCTGAAATTTAGGTTGTTGTCGAGGTAAGGCCAAGGGAATTTGCCCTCATTTGTCTGGGAATTGAAATGTTGTCGATCTTTAAAGTTAAGTTGGCCAAAACCCACTTGCTACCAAACTAAAAATGAAGGTTTTGCCGTGTTAAGTGTAATTTATTGGCTGTCATCCAAGTCGAATTTTGAGCAGCTCCTCACCTTGGGGTCTTCAAGCTACGGTCCTCTTTATCAAACCCCCGGGCTGAGGGACTGATTAGTCAAAATTTTTGTACTGATAAGCCACTGATGGCGAAACGTCTACAAATAAAGATACCCAATACTGCCATTTCTAAATTTTAATTTGGTTGGGATTGTCACCCTGTGTACGTAGTCGATGATGCGCGTGGAGTGTAGTAAATAGTACAGTTGCTGTTGTAAACAGCAGCAAACAGCGCAACAGCAGGGAGCAGCACAGCACAGCAGCAGCAGCGCAGCAGCAGCAGCAACAGTAGCAGCTGCTGTTTTAGTAGTGTTGCCCAATTTAAAACATGTGCAACCCTTGGGGATCTTTTTTGAGGAAAGTTTCGCCCCAAGTGGCTTATCATCCATACAAAGGGGAATCTTGAAGAAAAGAACTTCAAAATTCTCCTTTGTATGGGCTCGAACCATTGTCTCCCGTGTAGTTGCTGTTGTAAATAATGACAGCACGGCGCGGGCGGGAGCAGCGCGGCAGCAGCGGGAGCAGCAGCGCAGCAGCAGCAGCGGCAGCAGCAGCACGCAGCAGCAGCAGCAGCAGCACGCGCAGCAGAGAGCGGCCACGCAGCGGGAGCCGCGCGCAGCAGCGCAGCAGCCGCAGCAGCACAGAAGCAGCGCAGCGCAGCAGCAGCAGAAGGGACAGCAGAGCAGCGGGCACAGCAGCAGCCGGCGGGGGGGAGCAGCGGGGCCAGCGGCGGGAGGGCAACAACAAGAAAAGAGAGCACGCAGAGCAGGCCTCCTTACTAAAAAATTCCCTGGGTTCTAAGGCAAATACATAACAAGTAAGAGGAAAAACACTCAAAGGCTACTTTATAAGGCAAAACCTTTTCCCCAAATCCCCGTTTTTTCCAAGGCACTAAGGTTACCGGTGATACTTCGTGTGTTTTCCCAAGGGCAACCCAAGTCGCCAAACGCTGAATATTATAATCTGTTTCTTTAAAACTTTTTTCAATAAAACCCATATATTTATACAAATTTATTACAGAGACGTAAAATTTTTCCTGGGGGTTTTGGACTTCCGGGGTGGACCCGGGGGGGGCCCCGAGCACAAAAGGAAAAGAGATATAATTTCTTATTTAAAAGGAAATTAACCCAGGTTTTCCTTCACCCCTTATTTCTTTACTATAACAACCACGTGTTTTTTTTTATCCTGCAAATGGGCACCCGTTAAAAATCATTCATGCAATGAGCCTAAAAATTTTTTAAAAAATCTAAGCTGTGTTGTTGTATTTTTGGCCGGAACGTGAGACACCTCAAAAAAATGGGGGTTTTTCGGGCAAAGCCAAAAGAAAAAAAATATTTAACATTTTTGTAAACCACAAAAATTTGGGGCAACCCCCGGTATTAACCCAAAAATTAGCACGGGCCAGTTGACCCCCCAATGGTTCAAAACCCCCCCTTTGGTTTGTTTCAAACGGTCATTAGATTTCGTGAGTCAACGTAAAATCTTTTTCACGAAACCCATGGAAAATCTTTAAAACTTCAAAAGGTTAAACCCCCGTGTGCCTTGCCCCAACTTCTATTATTATCTAAAAAGGAAAGAAAACTAATGACACGTTCCAAAACCCCCCGGGCGGAGAACCCGCCCCGGATCCAAACCCGCCCTTGGTTAGGGGAAAAGAAGTAGAAAAAGATTTGTCCAACTGGGATTTTTAAAATAGGAAGGACACAGGACCCTGTGCCCAAAAAGCAGGGCAACCCGGGTTTATCCGGCGGTATGGGGGTTTTTGCAATCGTTCATTAAAGAAATTTTTGTTCATTAGGCATAAACTGAGCAAGAGTCTCAGGACCCGTAGATTCTCTGTAAAAACTTCATTTGGGGCACAGGGTGCCTTCTCCTTCCTTGGTGAAAAAATAACCTATTGGAGAATTAAAAGGGAGCTGGCTGTCTAACCAGGGCCCATTTTAATTCTTACCCCGGGGGTTCAATCCCGGGCCGGGGATGGGTTTTTGGCAAAAGGTTATTCAGGGAAAAAATTAAGCCCCCAAAACCCCCCCCGAGGTTTTAAAAAAAAAACAAACGAAAAACAGGGATCGTGTTTATGTGTCAGTAGGGCCCTCCTCAACCGGGGGAAAGGGGGCTTTGACCCCCGAAAAACCCTCCCATTATCCAGGTACAAAAAAAAACTCCCCTATTAAAGGGTTTAATAAACCTTTTAAGTTTTAAAAATCTCAGAAACTTTAATATTCCCCTTTAATTTTTGGACCTTTCAATATTGGCCAAACCGGCTGCGGGCTTTTTTAAGCTTTAAAGAAGCAAAACCCCAACCTTAAGATGTCTAAATGGGACACAAAACCAGTTAAAAACTCCAAAAAAAATATTTTAAAACAACATGGACGGTGTATGCCACGGCTTCAGAAACAAGATTTTTCTAGGACGAAAAGGTTTCCGAAAGAACGAAAAATGTTTTGGAATCCAGATTAACCTTTCCTCCCAGAAAAACCCGGAGGCCCGTTTTGGAGTCGGGTCAGCTCCCCACCATCCTCCCCACCCCAGGTTCTCATTTAGATGTACCTTCCTTCACAATTTATTTTTAAAAATTTTACAAATACTCCACCAGCAAAGATAGTTTGAAAAACGCAAGAAAGTTTTCAATTACAATTTTTTTCCAAGGGGACCTTTAAAAAACCCCCGTCTAAGTTTCATCCCTTGTACCCCAAAGGGTAAACGTATTTCCCTGTGTTGAATTAAAATTTAAACCCCCTTGTTCGAAGCTTTTTCCCAATTTGTTTTTTGGTCTCCAATGCCCACCCCGGACAAAGGGGACCACTCTCTGTGTAGGGGGCAGGGGCCCCAAAAAAAATTTTATAATTAACCCCCGGAAACCCCCAATTTTAAATTAAAAAATTTTTTTAAAGGGGTTGGAAATAAAAGCGATTATTTTGTGTGGTAAGACCTCCTCCAAAATTTCTTTCCCCAAAAATCCCGTGAGAGAAGTCCTAGAGATTCGCTTGCCCCTTTCCCCTTTTTTCTGGGAAAATCACACGGTACTGCCCGGGCTGATCTTCGGGGGCGGGGAGGAGCCTCTTGAAAAAACCCAAAAATACCCCCCCCAGTTTTACACTATTTAAACCTGAAGGGAAAATAAAACCCCCGATCCAATGAATCCCCGAGAAGCCTCCAAGGAGTAGTATCAGACCCCTTATGGGGTAAAGTCTTGAAATTTTAAGTGAATACCCCCCCTTTCCTTGGATCAAATTTTTTCTTCCTAATTTCCCCGCCTTCCTCTCTTGTTTTGAAAATTCCCAAGTCACAAAAATTTTTTAAAATATAAAATATTCGAAAAAAATTTTTAATTAGAAAATTATTAATTTTAATGGGAAAAATTTTTGTGTATTGAAGAGCGTAAGATTGGGTTTTTTACCCATCTACATTAAAACTTTTTAAAAAACCGAAAATCAAATAGAGGAAAAATTGACGTTTTCCCCTCTTGACCATTCTTTTTTTTTACTTATTTTCACCCACACTGGACACTCAGTGTTTCCCAAGAACTTTCCAAAAAATGTTACAGACCCCCCAACCCCGGTCTTAAACATATACAACAAACCCCTAAAAATCATGTTACCTGCTTCAATATCCCTCTGTTTCAGACAAACTTTGTTTCCCAAAAACTCACTGGGGTTTGGATTAAGTTTCACGATCCTTTAAATGAGGAATTAACCCCCGCCTTTAGGTTAAACTACTAGCATCAAAATATCTAGTCCAAATATTTCAAAGTTCTCACACTTTTTTCAATTTTTTCTTCTTCTGTTCTTCGGCATTTCCGTAAGTTTCACCCAGGTACACGTACCCGGCCCCGCGGATTCAAAAATGGTGGTTCCTTTTTAAACAGAGAAAAAAAGGGGGTCCTTGAGATGCTGGAGGGAAGAGGTCCTTGAAGGGGAAAAAGGTTGGGGGTTCCTTTTTAGGACGTCCATTTTTACCCCCGTCTCTGGGAGATCCGGCCTTTGAGGGGAAATATGGTGGTGGGAAATAGAATGATCTTTGAGGGTTTTTTATTTTTTTAGGCATAGTTAGTTAAATCACCTTATAACAAAACAAAATAATAAAATAACAAAATAATTTACATTTTACCATTTTTTTCCCCCAGTTCTTACTTTAAATTAAAAATTTTTCAAATTAAAATATCTTCATGTTACCAGATTATTTTTGTTTATAATTAAAATTTTTGTTTTACAGATAAACTTTATGTTCTATAATATTTATTTTAAATTATTTTATTTTTAAAAATTTTATTTTAAAAGAATTTCACTATTTCAAAAGATACTTTATTTTAAACCCACCAACATCTCACTTTTCTACAGACTTCTTCACTGTTCTCACCAGACTATTTCATGTTCTCACCAGACTATCTCACTGTTCTCACCAGACTATCTTCACTGTTCTCACCAGACTATCTTCACTGTTCTTACCAGACTATCTTCACTGTTCTTATCAGACTATCTTCACTGTTCTCACCAGACTATCTTCACTGTTCTCACCAGACTATCTTCACTGTTCTTACCAGACTATCTTCACTGTTCTTATCAGACTATCTTCACTGTTTTTACCAGACTGTTGACACGTAGTTCTTCCTTCTGTCACAGCGTCCACCATTCATTACACTGACGATGGTTGGCCAGGATATCACGGAGGCCAAGGGATTCTGCATGGAGATGCTCCAGGAGATGGCTAAGAGGTTCAACTTCACGTAAGTTCTGTCCAGAGGTTCACCAGGCTTTCAGAACCTCAAAGGTACTGCCTCTCATCGTTCTTACACGTTCTCTTTAATGCAAGAATACCAGGCCATATCGGTTAGGTTAGGTTTGGATTGTTAAGTTTTGTTTTGGGTAAGGTGGGTTAGGTTAAGTGAGGTTGGGTTTTAAGTTAGGTTTGTTTGGGTAAGTTAGGTTAGTTAAGTTAGGTTAGGTTAGGTTAGGTAAGGTTACGTTAATCTTATTGATAACGTAGCCGAGAAACGTTAATAATGACGCCCACTGATGCAGTGGTTACCTTTATCAGTGACAACGTTTCGCCCACACAGTGGGCTTTAAAAATATAAGAATTTTTAGAAAGTAAGAATTAAAACATTTCGATTTCAAAACAATAAAAAAGAATTTAAGAACTTCAGGATAAGAATAAAAATAATGATTAAAAATAAGGATTAGAAAATAAAGTTTAATAACTGAGATAATAAAAACTGAAAATAAAAAAATGATAAGCCTTTGTGATATTATTATTATTATTATTATTATTATTATTATTATTATTATTATTATTATTATTATTATTATTAAAGCCAGTATATTCCAATACTTAAGGTATTACAACAGAAGTACTCATAATGGTAACTTTCTGCCTCCTACATGTACTTCAGGTACCTAACTGATTCCTTCAGGTACTCTCCATCCCTCTACAGGACTCCTCATTCCTCCTTCAGGTACAAGATGGTAGTGTCTTACGACGGAAAATGGGGAGTAGCAATGCCAAACGGAACATACGATGGCTTGGTGGGCATGGTGCAACGCAAGGTGAGGCATGGTACAACGCAAGGTGAGGCATGGTACAACGCAAGGTGAGGCATGGTATGGCGCAAGGTGAGGCATGGTACGGTGCAAGGTGAGGCATGGTACAATGCAAGGTGAGGACTGGTACAATGCAAGGTGAGGCATTACAATGAAAGGTGAGGCATGGTACAACGCAAGGTGAGGCATGGTACAATGCAAGGTGAGGCATGGTACGGTGCAAGGTGAGGCATGGTACAATGCAAGGTGAGGACTGGTACAATGCAAGGTGAGGCATTACAATGCAAGGTGAGGCATGGTACAACGCAAGGTGAGGCATGGTACAATGCAAGGTGAGGCATGGCACAACGCAAGGTGAGGCATAGTACAATGCAAGGTGAGGCATGGTACAACGCAAGGTGAGGCATGGTACAACGCAAGGTGAGGCATAGTACAATGCAAGGTGAGGCATGGTACAACGCAAGGTGAGGCATGGTACAACGCAAGGTGAGGCATGGTACAACGCAAGGTGAGGCATGTACAACAGAATCAAGGGTGAGGCATGGTACAATGCAAGGTGAGGCATGGTACAACGCAAGGTGAGGTATGGTACAACGCAAGGCGAGATATGGTACAATGCAAGGTGAGGCATGATACAATGACAGGTAGGTATGGTACAATGACAGGTGAGGTATGGTACAATGACAGGCGAGGTATTGTACAATGACAGGAGACAGACTTAGCATTAGACCTGTGTAACACTATCTGAAGTATAGATTAATGCAGCTTCTAGGCATTTACGTCTGCAGGTGTCTGGTTTCAGAATAACTAAGAGGGCGTATCACCGCCTGTCACGCGGGAGACCGGGATTCGAGTCCCCGCAGGGAGGACAATGTATAGGGTGACACTGTGGCCTGGCTGGCAAAGCTCTCGCTTTACATGCGGACCGCCCGGGTTCGATTCCCGGCGGGGTAGAAACATTTCGACGCGTTTCCTTGCACCTGTTGTCCTGTTCACCGAGCAGCAAATAGGTACCTGGATGTTAGCCGACTGGTGTGAGTCGCATCCTGGGGGACAAGATTGAGGACCACAATGGAAATAAAACAGACAGTTCTCGATGACTCACTAACTTTCTTGGGTTATCATGGGTGGCTAACCCTCCGGGGTTAAAAATCCTAACGAAATCATCTTATCGGTCATTTCGTTCCATTAAGTGGCCGAAGGCGTTCCAGTGTTATATACTTGAATTATTCAGGCCGTCGCATTTTCACACCTAGATGCGTTCATTCAGACGTGTCTCTAGGTTTGTGGCTGTTTTTCCCCAATATATACCTCACCTCAGTCTCCTGTCGGGATGATGCAAAGCCCCGTGTTTACTAGTTTAAGATTCATCTTGATCCTGGTCACATATCTGATGGATACCTTGGCTAAGGAGACTCTGGTGTTGACTTCTAATTCTAACATTACTTCTAGTAATAGCTTTACTCCGCCACCACCACCATTACTACTACTACTATTATTACTACTGTTGCTATTCTTATTACGTTCCGTTTCCTGCATCTTCATTCCCTTTATGTACTTTCTGTGTCTCTGTGCTGTTTATACAGGCTTGACAAAGCTCCTGAAGAGAGTAATATTGAGGTAATAAACGTCTCATTAATTTTGCTTGTGCCCATTTGTCTAATAAGCTTTCTCTAGTCTTATTCTTTACATGAACTTGGAAACAAAACGTTTCTACAATAAAGGCACTCAAGTGTTGCACATGTGTCTCATGCCAGAGACCCTAAGAAACGTAGGGTCTGTGGCCTCAGTTTGTCGATATTTTGGGCCTGGTCTCACGTTGCTGCTGTGTTTCAGATGGTGGACTTCGCCGTCAATGGCTTCACCATCACCCAGGCCAGGGAGACTGTGATAGACTTCACTCACGAGTTCTACGAGGAGCCTTCCACCATTCTTCTGCCTTCTTCAAGGAACACGACAACTTCCTCGCCTTCCTGGAGCCCTTCTCCTGGCAGGTAAATTTGGACTGACTGACGGAGTCTTCAACACACCTTTCATTGAGTCAGCTGTGGATTTTTGGGCCTTTTATTT